ATAGGTCCTGCCACTTGGACTTGTGCTGATACAGGGCACAAAGGCCTGGAAAGGTTGATACAGATGCCAAAATGTGTGAGAACTCCAGACTCATTTACAGACTAAAAGGATATGATTAAAGATCTCCTATTTATGAAACATTTAAATACAGCATCTCATTTTATCCTCACACAAGTCCTGTGAGATGTCAGACAATTATTAGAATTTTCGTCTCACAGATGAAGAAACAGAGATCCTTGACTATAACTCCAAAAAGGTCAGGGTAAAACTAGAACTTGATTCAAGGCCTCCTGGCTGCCAAGCCTTTGTTCTTTCCACCCACACCATATTTAAACCAAAGGCAAATTTTGTGCATGATATTTTTTAAACTTGAAAAATACTTGGGTCTTTAATGTGCCAGATTTTAGATGAATAAATCAAATTGGCATTCGGCAGGAGTATGCATTCTCTTCTTAGCCAGGATATTTTCTTCAAGGTAGGAACCAAGATATTTACAGGTGGAATCTTTAATGAACATGTTAGTATAAAGTAAGTTGCTAATTACAAAGTACAGTTAATAAATCCAATAAGTAAAAACAAGTGTGAAAGTTGAACCACAAAATGAACTTGAGACAGCCCCTGTGTAAGAATGGGCTGATGGTTCCTACTAGCACTGGAAAATTGAAATGGTCTGATTTTTTTATTTAAGAGGGAAAAAGTAGGATTAGAAGTAGACAAAGCTCCAGAGACAGATACACTGCCTAGAAGCCCTATTACTGTCTGGGTTTTCACTGCTGAAACTTTACAGACACTAGAAAAAGTAGAGCAGAAACGCAATGTAAATTATTGAAGGGATGCTGCCATTTCCTGAAGCAGCTGGGATAGTCTGTCCATAAAACATTAACATGACATTTCTGGGTTTTGACAGGTCGTTTGGAAGAGAAAGGGTAAAGAATATACAAGCCCTTTGGTGGGAATGGAGACATTTGTTCTGATAAAAATAAACAAGCACTATGGCTGGTCTGCATGCCAGCTTCTACTGAAAAACAGGGAGAAAACATGAAAATTTAAAGCTCAACACTGAAATGGATTAAACTTGATTTGTTCACTATAATATGAACAGGCAGGATTAGAAGCATCTAAGGCTTTTCTCTCTCCTTTTACTTTTTTGAGAAAGGAAGATGCTCTGCCTCCTGAACTATGCTCAGCATTTAATTTATGCCTCTAGTAAATAATTGAACTGCAAGCCCTTTGTACACAGTGAATTAATGTGTTTATCCATAGTGACTAGAGGGGGATAAAGGATAAAAAATATTAGTTTCCTTAGATGGCAAAAGGACCATTCCTTTTTCTAATGATGATTTTTCACAGTAGTGGCTTACAGGTAGGGCCAACTTTTCTTGCATGAAAACCATCATGAAGAATATCGGCAAAGAACCACCTGCCAGAAATATATCCTCCACCAAATCATTCTGTGGACATAGCCAGTGAGGGTCCCAAAAGTTCCCATCTCTAATAATAGCATATTTGTTGTGGTAAACATACCACAATGCTCTGAGTATGAATTCATTGGTCACTAAGCCCATTTCTATACAAATAATCTTTGCACATATGACAAACCCAACCATGTTACACTTTCTCAAAAAAAGGTTGATTAATGCCAAAATATCTTCCTTGAGAATACTGCCTGTAAAAATGCAAAATCAGGGCATTTATAGACGCAAACCAAGACATGTGGTGAAACAATTTTGCAGATAAACGTTTTGCCACACTGGCACATAAAATGGGCACAAGGTAATGTGATTTTTCAAATTCTCCTTACACAAATAGGGAAAGTAAGCCAAAGGAGAAAAATTACAAATAAGAGGGCTAGTAATGGTTATGGTACTAAATACTAACATTCTATAGGGAAATTTTTTATTTTCTCCATTTTAGTACTCTTCTCTGAGAGCAACACCAAAATAGGTTTATGGGAGGTGAGGTTGTTCCATAGATATCAACATCCAAAAAGTCACTGATATACTCCAAATAGACCTGGCTCTTTTAAATTACTTATTAAGAATCTAAAATTATTTATTTAGATTTTACGTGGAGTTGTTTACATGATTATTCTTTGCATAATACCTATTAATATACCAGTTTCACAAGGTACGCTTTAGAAAGTGAATCATTCAAAAGTTCTATAAGGCAGATCTCATGAAAGCAGAGAAGAAAAACAGAGGAAGAGCCTCTAACTCTGCCTGATGAAGGTGGAGGCAGAGCGCAGGTGGGGCTGAACAAGACACCTTAAAGTGGAAAAAACTTCCATACGAAATTTTTGGACTGCGGCTGATCTTCCTTTCAGCTTGGCTGACCAGACTAAGCAGCCCTAATCTTTCAAAGTCCACCTTCATATCCGTCCCTCTTTAGCTCCCCTCTTTAGCCCTAGTCCAAACATTGCACACAAAACACGGGACAGATATCTCACGTTAACATGGAAGATTATAGAGAATTTTAGAGAATTAATAAAGGGGGGGGCAAGTGGATACTGGTTGGGCAACTAACAATTTCTGCCACAGTATTGTAATATAAAATTGTAATTATTCTTAGTCCTCCTGTTCCCTGAGAGTCTCAAACTAATAGGGTAAATTTTAGTATTAAGTACTTAGGGGTTTTTTCTTCCAGTTGTTGTCTTAAACACTCACATAAAGAAAACAGTTGTTTTTCCCACTCATATAGCTAGTTCACTTCTTGTTGAAGTCTACTCCACTCTAGTCATTTTGTTCCCAGTCTTTCTTAATTGCTTAACTATCACAAATGTGCCCTTTGTACACAGTGAATTAATGTGTTTATCCATAGTGACTACAGGGGGATAAAGGATAAAAAAATATTAGTTTCCTTACATGGCAAAAGGACCATTTCTTTTTCTAATAATGATTTTTCAGAGTAGTGGCTTACAAAAGCGAGGTTGCTTTTGATGTTTTCCTTTATTAAAAAAAATAGGAAAGCTGTCATATTACCGTCTAGTGATTTGATAACTGATTTTAATAATAAATATCACTATGTGTTGTAGTGATTTTCCATAAATTTCAACATAAAATTTGTTACAAGGGGGCAAAGTTTCAAGTTTAGTAACTTCCAGATATCTGGACCTTTATAATTAAGGATCTTCTCTGATAAATTTTGTCTAATTGGAATTAGACATCTCTCAGCATCCTAGCCCAGCTGTTAACACTCTAATTTTATTTAATCTTACATTTTTATATCAATACATTGCTTCTAAGTGTCATTATGTGACTTCTTCACAAATCCCTGGGGAAAATAAGAAAATAAAATATTCCTTAGATGTGTAAAACCAAAATATAACTGATAGTTTTGTCTTTTCCATTTCGGAGGAAGGAGAGAGAAAGTGAGTGAGGGGAAGACATGGATACATAGATACATGGATGAAGATATAGAAATAGAGGAGAGATGGAGATAGAACTAGGTCCTGACTACATTGTCCACACTAGCTAAGCACGCTGTTGGTAAAAGGAAGAGGTACTCCAATTCTTTATCATTTGACACAAACAAGCATGACATGACAATATGGCCACTAAGTTCTTGGCTTCTTAACTATTTGTTAATACAAGACCAAATCCTTCGTCTAGAGCCAATGGCATACATACTCTTTCCAAGTACGACAGAGAGATGAAAGGAAAAGGGAAACAGCAAGAGATTCACAGAGCTGGTGAAGGAGAGGAATGGGTATCTACACCGAAGGAAGGGGAAAAGAGAATTAGGAAAGGGATGAGAAGATGTAGAAGAGAAGATGGTGGAAGAGACCCAGGAAATTCTGGAGAGCTGAGTGCCGTTTTCTTGTCACATCCCCACTTCACTTTGGAAGTGGCTTGTCTGATCTTTCAGATTCTCCTGATCCTTATTATTTCTTCTTGAGTAACCAGAAAACCCAACTCTGAGAGAAATGATGCTTCCAACTGAACAGCAGTGACCAGATAAATACTCCAGGGAGGCAGAAGAAATCAGTCAAGGACCAAGCCCTCCAGATGCTCGTCTCCTACCACCGTCCTCTTCTTCCCCCTGTTCTAAGTGGCTGGACTCGAAGCAGCCATAAATTGAGAGGAAAATGGCCAGTGTCAGGGTTCCCAGTAACTGAGAGATTTTCTCTCTCAGAAAAGCAAGAAAACGCAAGGATCAGAACGCCTAGATTACAAATCAGAGCCCAGCTTCGATGTGCCATCTGCCAACCTGCAAGTCATTCAACTTCCTAGAGGGAAGATTTTAGCTGTAAAACAGGACTAAGTATTTTAAGGTGCTAACTAGTTATTTTAATGAGCTAACATGTCTTAAAAGCGCTTTTAAAAGTAAATACTGTGGGGCCATTTCTCCATCAGTCTGGAAGGACGGTGTTGCTGAGGTGAGCG